AAATTCAGCAAGTTCTCACAGGTTCTGGAGAACCAATATCAGAAATTTTGAGTAGTTTAGAGAACCGGCAAATACCACCTCTGGCTGGCCACGCCCCCATCTATTCCCTGCCTCCCGAGTCCCAACTGAATGGGAGGAAATGGGGATTTTGCAGTATCCTTCCCCTGCCATGCCACCAAGCCACGCCCATCAAGTCATGTCATGCCCACCAAGCCACGCCCACAGAACCGGTAGTAAAAAAAAATTGAATTTCACCACTGGTGCCCATCCACCCTGTATCAATGTGAAATATAATGTGATTTTTAAAAACCATTTGCAGAGCATAGTTCCCGGCCCATACGCCTGAATGGAATGCGGAGGTATCCTCTCCTTTTCAATGTCTCCATCCCTCACCACGAGACGATAACCATGGCGGAGCTGAGGCTCTACACCCTGGCGGAGGACAGACAGCTCTACGGGAACCTCGACCGGAAGGTCACCGTCTTTGAAGTGCTGGAGGGCGAACACGGAGGAGGAAAAGAGGGAGAGGAGAGGAAACTGAGAGTGATGGCCTCCAGGTTTATTTACAGCTCCGACAATGAATGGAAGACCTTTGAGGTGACAGAAGCCATCAGGAAGTGGCACCACTCTGACTCAACCACTCACCAACTGGAGGTTCAGGTGGAGTACCGAGGGGCAGAGAACCCTAAACCAGGAAGACACAGAGGAGTAGACATTAATTTGGAACCCAAACACAAGCCATTGTTGATTGTGTTTTCAGACGATCACAGCCACGCCAAGAAAGAGGAGAAGCACGAGCTGAAGGAGATGATGGAGCACGAGCAGATGCAGGAGTGGCCGGATTTGGAGCTACAAGACTTCTCCAGCAGCCCCAACGATCTGCTTCAGATCAGCTCCAACATCATCTATGACTCGACCTCCAGGATCCGGAGGAATGCCAAGGGAAGCAGCTGCAAAAAGACCTCTCTCTATGTGGATTTCAAGGAGATTGGCTGGGACTCCTGGATCATTGCGCCCGCTGGCTACGATGCCTACCAGTGCAAGGGAGCCTGCAGCTTCCCTCTGGAGGGCAGCCAGTCGACCACCCATGCCATGGTCCAGACGTCTGTCCACTTGAATGACCCCCAGAAAGCTTCCCCTGCCTGTTGCGTCCCAACCAAGCTGGACCCCATCTCTTTGCTCTTCTTGGACAAAGGAATCGTCACCTTCAAGCAAAACTACGAGGGCATGTCCGTCTCGGAATGTGGCTGCAGATAGTAGCAGGAGATGGGGTTCTTGCATGGTGTTTTGGCTTCCGTGGGATTTCATGGTTCCATCTGAACAGTTTTGAGATGCAGTCAACTCCTTGGACAAGGGGAAGGGACCTTGGAGACAGGCAATGGTTTAGGGATGATGGCTTGGAGAAAAGGGGTGGAGGGGGATGGAAGGAGACCAGCTGACCTCCTAAACAGCAGCAAACAGAGGCATCTCCTTAGCTTCAGCTAGAGCTCCCACAACATCACAAAACTTCCTCTCCAGTTGTTCATCCCAGACATTTCACCACTTATGCAATCCTGTTCTGGTCCTTCCAATTTCCGGACGCTGCAACTGAGCCAACAGTTGTCAGAAAACATAGCAAAAGTCTCAAAGCTGCCTTTTTTTATCATACCCCTGGGGAAAAAATATGAATTGGCTTTATTGAATTACCTCCAGGAATTCTCCAGCATTTTTTGATTTCTCTCTCCACTGCCTAGTACGATCATGGTACCAGTTCAATTCTACTGTCCCTTGGAGAGGAAACCAGTCCTGGAAGGAAGCCATTGCTCTTCTTGGCCCTAAGACCCCCAACCATTACTTTGCTTTCCAATAGAGGGGCCGTCAAATACTCCCCTTGGACTTTTCCTGGGAGAAGAAGTTCAAGAAAACTTTCTTAAGCTGTGACACATGGGGTTCACACACACATCAGTAAGCATGGTTTAATTAACCATGGTTTATTGAATAAACCACAATTGGCTGGGTTCATGCAACAAACCAAGCCAAAAGCAAAACATTGTGTGACTTTAAACCATAAAATTTCCCATGTTTCCTTGCTTACTCAGAAAAGAAGACTGGCCTAGTGGTTGATGTTGCTTAGAAAACTTCTGCTTTCCAAATTCTCTTTCTGGAAAGTTCTGTGCTACTCCCTCATCCCTCTCAGGATTGTTCAGTTTAGTGGAGCCCTTCAGATAGCAGAATCAAGATATCCCCCAAAGCAATTGCACAGAATTACTTTGGACACGCCATTCGGATTGGGGTGCGCATGATACGAACCCAACTCCTCCTTTGTATCAATGTCCTCATGCAACTCAGAACTTGGCTGATTGTCCTTTTCATCGCTGTTAAAATTTGGAGGGCGGGGAGGGTTCTTCTATGATGAAATTTCAAGGCCCTTCGGGCAGACAGGGGCTCCTCCTTATGGGGAGCTGTCAATTCACGAGACAGTTCTCCGTGCGTGCGTTGGAGGTCACATGTCAAGTTTCCACCTCTCTGGCAAATCTTTGTGATAAGAAGGTGTTGGGAGTTGGGAAACGATAGGCCTGGTGGTGCTTTATTTATACTAAGCTGCAAATCGGTCAGATTCTTTGGAAAGTGTAATTGACATTGTGTCTCCAGCCCTTCGTGGGCTTACTGTACTATGCCCCACCACTGCTTTCTACTTTTAAGGAGAGAGAGAAAGAGAGAGAAGGAGAGAGAGAGAAGTTGGGTTTAGAGAACACCAACGTGGGCCCTTCAGAAGAATTCTCATGCAAAGCACTTGGGACTTGCTGAAATCCACCTCATCTTTGTCCTGGAAGCCATTATTTATTGATCTATTTATTGACTGTCGTCCTTGTAAATATAATGTAGAATACGAAATGTTTTATTTTTGTGCTTGTATGTTTACCAAACACACTTGGGTAATCCTGTATATGGAACTGTTTTGATGCTAATATCATCCCCCAGTTTCAGTGGGCTTCCTTTTTCATTGTCTTTGTAAATATATTGATTTGTTTTTTCATCTCTTGGTGTAATGCAAAATACAGTGGCATCCAGCATACAATCACTTTCAAGCCTCAAATGAATATAGAGAGTGTGTATTTCTTTTCATATGGCAAAAACTGAGAGCTGGTGAATTTGTCCCCATCTTCTAGTTTGGCTGGAGACATCCCATTTTCAAACATACAGTGAGTTCTGGCAAGATTTCTGACTGTATCTTGAGGCCACTTTTGGCCACAATTGCTGCATAAGTCTCCAACAGAAGAGTTATGGAAGGATCTATCACAATTCTCCCCACGAAGGTGAGCCTTAGTTCTTCAGAACAGCTGCTGCAGTGACCCTCTCAACCTCTCCTCTGCTCCAGAGGTTTTTGGATATGTTATCTTATATCCTATTTCTCTAAAGAAAAATCTACCATAGAGACTGTACCAAGATACAGTCACTTAGATGTCAATCAATCAATCAGTAATATTTATTCGGTNCAAGGTCCCTTCCAATTCTGTTATTCTGTTATCCTGTGTCAATGTCTTTCCAGTGAAGCAGGAGATAGGGCTGTGCCCCAGAGGGGAACATCGACATCAATTCCTTTGACATACATTTGCCTTTTTTTTAATGGTAAGTTTTTCTCCCAAAATGATAGAACTCAGATGATCAATGTCAAGCGATTGAAGACTGAACTATCAAGGAGAACTCCATACTACCAGCAACACTGACAGGACAAGCTACTGTATATAGAGAGCAAATCCCACTCTCTTTTGGCATGGAAGAGTTAGTTGTCTAGTTAGGTAATGAAACATCTGCAAGCAAACAGCAAAATGTAAAAGACTCACACAATGCAGTATTAAATTGTGGGATGTACTATCATTGATTCCATGATGGCCATCAATTTATATTGTTTTTATCGGGGTTCAAAAGAATTGGAATATTCTGGCATCAGACTAATATTAGGAAATACTAGTGCATGGAATATTGTCTTTATATGACCTGTTTTTCCTTACCAAGGAGAACACAGAAGTAGATATTCAGAGGAACATTTTGAAGTTTCAATCTTATCTGAAATTTATCCATTTAAAGAAGGCTGATGCTTTGGATACTTGCTTCATATAATAGTACAATAGTGACCACCAGAATGCCAATGTATAATAATTGCATTAATCTGAAATATTTTGAAAATCCCCCAAATTAATGTTTAAGGTGGGAGATACTAGGGTTTGTTAAAGAAAAAAATATATAGCACAGATATTACTTGCACTTTAAAATATCGCCAAGAGAGGGCAGAATTCAATGTTTAAAAATATGTAGAAGAAGAAATCATTTCAGTGTTTCTTGTCATTTGCAAATCCTTCTCCTTAGCCATGCATTGTTGCAAGTATGCACAAGTAATATGGGTTTCCCAACTGCATTCATCTTTCTTTCTACAAGAATTTGTGTAGTGTCAAAAGGGCATTTGCATTCACTAAGGCTGAAAAAAAATTGCTCTGAACATGAAAAACTGAGAAAAATGTAATGAAGCATCCAGATTTAACCAGCTGCATAAAAATAATGCCAAATGATAGCTTCTTCTGATGAATGCAGCTCATTAAGTTTGCATCACTCTAAGATATATTTTTTGTCTGACTTTCTTTAGCAGAGAAATAAATTCATTCAACCTATATAACTTCAGTATTTTGGACTGAGGAAATTTAATGCAATAGAGAACCTTGTCTATTCATGGAACTTTTCTTGGACATCAAGGTGCAGATCACTATGAGATAAGGAAAGTGGTGTGACAACAATGGTAAACATATTTTTTCTTTTACATGAGCAGCTGCAAGTTGTGTGCATAAACAGTATGTGATTTGCATATAGAAATAGAACAGAACAGAAAAGAATAGACTAGAAAGACCTTGGAGGTCTTCTAGTCCAACGCCCCTGCTTAGGCAGGAAACACTATACTATTTCAGACAAATGGTTTTCCAACATCTTCTTAAAAACTTCCAGTGTTGGAGCACCCACAACCTCTGGAGGCAAGTTGTTCCACTGATTAATTATTCTAATTGTCAAGAAATTTCTCCTTAGTTCTAGGTTGCTCTTCTCAACTTGATTAGTTCCCACCCGTTGCTTCTTGTCCCGCCCTCAGGTGCTTTGGAGAATACATTGACTCCCTCTTCTTTGTGGCAAACCATGAGATATTGGAACACTTCATGTGTTTAAGAATGTGATACATATCACACACACATAGAGAAGCACACATACACATCAGAGGTGATATTCAGCAGGTTCTGACTAGTTCTGGAGAACCGGTACCTCTGATTGGTCTCACCCACTCTATTCTCTGCCTCCTGAGTTCAAGCTGATTGGGAGGGAATGGGGATTTTACAGTATCCTTCACCTGCCACGCCCACCAAGCTACACCCACCAAGCCATGCCATACCCACTAAGCCACATCCACAGATCAAGTAGTAAAATTTTTTGAATCCCACCACTGATACATATCTGTGATCCCATACCCTGATACACATTGTTAGCTTTCTGATTCAATGGACATCATATTCTTCCCCTTCACTCT